AGGAAAGAATTATCCTATATACTTGATCAAATGTAAAGAAAGGAAAGGGAGGTCAACCCCGTGATACCCTTGGAATATCTAATGCTTGAGCATAGATATTCCCGAGGGCCTTGTAATTTAATATCATATTTTGATAGGTTACTTTTTAATCTGAGTCTCTATTAGGAAATAATTTCCCTATATACTTGAAGAAATGGAAAGTTATGATAGGGTCAAGGAACTTCTTGGCAACTGCTATAAATAAGTAGTGGCATATCTTTCTTCTCTATATGTTTATTATTGGGGAGTCAAATAGTAACAGACAAGCAAAGATTTTTTGATGCCACCCAAATTCATAGTTGGTTGGTTGGTTAAGATTTTTAAATCATACCAAATGACTAGGCCATGACGCATTTGGTATATTAAAAACTCATAAAAGGGACAGTAATAATGTTTCTGGATGAAACGTCGAAAAAATGTCAACGTTGTCACAACGTGTTCAATAAAATATTTTATAGACGAGAAAATTAAGATTTTTCGAGCGTTTTTTACGAGACGTCTTTGAATACCGAGTGAGCTTGAAAAGATTATTACTTGTCTTGGACTATAATTGCGTCGGAATAAGTTTATTCATCTGTCTGTCCTCTGTCGCTTAATATTAACGTCTGGATTTTTCTGGATAATTTCTCGTTGTCCTAGTTTTTTTGCTATTGTCGAACTACGAAGTTTGTTACATCTCGAGAGAGTTGTTACATTGTTTTATATTTTCTTTAATAGAAGATATATTTTTTGTCGCCTTCGTCTATATGCACGAACAACTCTACGGATATCACGTTAGCATGTAACGCACGTGATATCACATTTCGTTGCCATTCCGGAGGACTAAAATTTCATTTTTTTTTTATACTACGATGGTGGCAATCAAGCAATCGATCAATCAATACGGCCCATCTGATGGTAAATGGTTACCGTAGCCTATGAACGCCTTAAACACTAGGGGTATCACGTGCGCGTTGCCGACCCTTAAGAAACCTTAACATACCCTTCTTGAAAAACCCCATGCTGTAGTCTCGTGGGAAAACCTCGGTAGGAAGTCATTCCACAATCTAAGTGTACGCGGGAGGAAACTCCTCTGAAACCGCACAGTGACCACTTAGGTTCCGGCGTGTGGAGATGAATGTTGAATTCCTTGTCGATGGCGAGCGGTGCGGTGGTAAAAGGTGGCTGTCGGCATTATGTCGAACAATTCCTTAGAACACAGTCCGTTGTATAATCGGTAGAACACAAAGCGAAGCGAAGTCTCGCCTCAACCTCAAGTGAGTCGATACCGCCAGAGAGATTGGGATCATCGACAATTCTCATAGCACGTTTCTGAACCTAGTCAAAAGGCCGAGCTGGTATCCAGGTGCACCCGCCCAAAGATGTGAGCAGTACTCCATGTGTGGCCGAACCTGTGACTTATATCCTGTTATTTCACTTGCCTAGATTGACCTAGCTTAAAATAAGTCAGTTCTTACAAAGCAAGCTACTTGGCGACTAAAATAGGCCAGACAAATATACGCAAACAGGACAGAACAAAGGAGACAACTCCTTTGTTCTAATTAATTCTAATACATCTTTAAGAGAAATACATTAACAGTTTTTCACTAAATCCATATGAAAGTAAATAGGGTACTTGTATGAAAACATAACATAAAAATTACTGTCTGTTTTGCTAATCTATGAAACAGCTGAAATAAAACGATTTTGAGGAGACTTTCATTTGCAGATAGCTTATGTAACAAGCAATATCTTAAGATACTATTATTACAGAAATTTTATTTATTCTGTAAAATAAAGTTAAATTCGTGAATGAAGTAGCCGGTAACAGTTAATATACAATTAACAAAATCGTAATAGACTTTACGACTGTAATCCCATGAAGAGTAGTGTGACCCATCATGATAAATGTAATGCTTGAAATATTCTGAGGAGCAAAACGAATGTACAAATTGACACTAAAAAAATAAGGTCTGTGTAAATTCGAAGTCACGATCCTTGGCGTCTGTAAGTCGGGATACAACTGTTTATAGCTGATCGTTAAAATAAATGAATTAGTTACCACTAATTGAAATGTATTGCTATTCATTGCATTTACACTTAATATAAATATACTCGTAAATTGACATTTACACTGGGGAGTAAAAGGAAAAACAATAAAATTTAATACTTTATATTTATTACACAAAACCATTAAATATGGACATAAAGTCCTTTGTACATTGTGTTTTAATGCCTAAAATAAATAAATTTATTAATAAATTAATAGGTTAAATCTAAGTTATAATTTATAATAAATAACCTTATATTCTATATTTCTCTATATTTTCATATATAAAGCTGAAAAGTTTGTTTAAATGCACTAATTCATGAACCGCCACATCGGAAAGAAATAACTTTAAAATAAATAGTCCAAGGTTGGGGTGGTACTATGATATCTCATATTAGGCTTAAGAAGTCGAAACAAAATTTTTATAGACCGCTTTGTATATTGTATTTTTTGTTATAATGAGACTATAAACAGCAATCAATCTGAAGGTCAACAACCTCATCTGGTGATAAAGAAAAGTGTTTCTAACGTCACATCATCATGTCAGGCCTTAGTACCTCTCAATTTCTAGTACTAGAATGTTATGATTCCTTAACCTGCAGTTTTACTGCATTATCTCACCCTCCAAAGGAAACATGGGTTACAAAATAAGCTACTTGGTGGCTAAAATGAATAAATAGGTACCCACGAAGAAAACAACACTAACACAATCATTGTACATGCTCTGATCAATCAATTAGTCATTTTCATTATTTAGGTTATTTTCAGGTTGCACAGGTCTGTAACTGAGACTTTCTACGTTTTATTACGTATAGGTAAAAACTTTTGTTAACAATATAAATTTCAATTATAAACACTGTTTTTTTCACGATTCTTTAGAATTATAAACATTGTATATATTATCAATATAATATTGTTTAAGAGTCATTCAGTTGACCCGTGACTAAGACATTTAAACCGTGTCAAAATATCGGGAGCTTTTAAATATTATTTTCATAGTAAATAATCTATTTATATAACGTGTACAAATGTACATTTATATTTAATAATAAATCTATTACCTTTTTAGGTTAATTTATATTGAAGAGTAAATGAAAAAATGATTTTAATAATTAAATTTACATATACAGCGAATTAGGCTGATGATGAAGATGATGATGATGAAACATCGACATTTGAAAGATTCAAGCGAATCTCACTTGTCCAGATACATTCAAATGTATACTAAATGTATATCGAATGTGATAATAACTTATATAGAACATATTTTATTGTATTATTTGAAAATTCTTTATATAGTACGAGGAAAATGGCTGCGTTGTTGAAATTTTTAACGTCGGTGAATTTTTACTTCCAAGAAATATTAAATGATTTATATATGTATTTGAGATATTTGAATGTATTAGACATATCGGTGGAAATGAAAAATAATAATCCACTAAACTTAGTACTCTTCCTTCGCAACCTTAATAACATAGTGCTAAGATTCTGATTTGTTTGAATGTTGAGATCATTAAAAATTATATTTGTTCATATTATATTCACTGAATATCTACATCAGAATGGAATACAAATATGTGTATATCTTTATATTTAACACACGTTTTTATAGCTATTTCAGTATTATATTAATAATTTTTGCAATATTTTTTGTCATATTAAGTAAATACATATAAATTGAACTTCATTGAAGAATGATGATGAATTACAATTCCCTGCTTACTAAATGTACAATTTACATGTACAATTTACATTTTAGACCACAGTTAACATACATATTTTACATATTTTAGTCAATGTTTACAGCACTCTGCTAATAATTCATAATTGAAAATACACTCAATATAACTTTAATTCTGTTGAAACTTTTATCGGTAATTTAAAAATCCCTAAGGAATATAAAACTCAAATACCTCTAACAAATTTAATAATCCATAAATGGGTTATAACTGAATTACTGAAATTCTCCTGATATCTATAATGTTATTGAGAATGTACGAAAATAAGGTTTTAGGCGAATTCTACATGGGTACTCACATTACACTAAAACGGATTAACTAAATTAGTTGAGTTATTTAGAAATAAGTAAACTTTAGTAATAAACATTTTTTTTCATTATACCATAAAATTATGATTACATTCCTAAAATTGAGTATAAATAAATAGCCAAAACATTTTAGTCACTAATACAACTAGTTAATGCGATATACACTATTTCTCCGAAAACACTAATCGATTATTAGTTTAGGAGTTTATTTTTATGTAAGCAGATAGTTTCTATGATATATTATTGTAATTTAATTTGGACTATATAGTAAGACATTGATATCATTTGAGTTTCTAGACTTGAGTTTCACAAACCAGGTAAAAACTAAAACAGTAAATATAGGTATATAACTATAACTATTATTAGTGTGTTTCTTACACTAATAATATTTATAGCTTAAAAAATACTTACTATTAGGCAGGCATTATGCTCCATAACCATCCTCAACGTATAATAAATGCATTCAAAAGTGGCTGAGGTCCTTTTGGAAATTATTTTTTTCCGACCTAATAACTTACATAAGTATTAGGTTGGAAAAAATTACTTTCCGAGTGTTTTGTGAAAGTGAAAAGTATTTTCTCTTGCAGGTCATTTTCTTTACAGTTGAGTAAGTAATTCTTACTCAACTGTGCTCAATTAAATTGGTGTTTATTTGGCATTACCCGATTGTACAATATTGTACACATAAACATTCCAAACAATATTTTAGTTTTAACTGAAAAACCGCATGTAAATCAGTTGCGTGGCTTCGAAAAGTGTATACAAAAATTATAAAAACAGAGAGCAAATTTTGTTATACTTAAAAGAAAACTACAGAATCACTCCACCGAATTGAGAAATTGTTACATTATTTAAAAGGTATACTGTTCCACAGTGATATATACTATAAATTGCATTAATAAATACATAAGTCACAAAATTATAAATATCTAGACAAAGCCTCGGCGGGACACTGGGAAGCAGACAAACAGACAGAAAAAATGAGCGTCTTGGTTGTACACTGAAGAGAAGCTACACAGCAGTTCCCGGCGCAGTTATATAGACAGGTGCTTGCGCTGGCCTATGTTTAGGTTGATATGCTCTATTAGATGCCCAGTCTTTCCCATATCCTCCACTAGAAGAATAGGCGTAGTTGTTCCCGTAGTCAGAACTGAAGTCAGAACTGTCACTGCCGCCGAAGTAGGAGTAGTGCGTCATCGGATGATGCTGAAATGAAAATATAAAATTAATGCATCATGATCAATAAACAACTGACAACGTTATAATTTATTTTTCACGTTTTATTGTCTCTATCTACACTCTTATAATAGACAGGCTAACATATATTTATATATATGCAATACCTTTAAATTTCTTTGGAAGCAGGGGATTTTATTTCTTAATCTTTATCTTTCTTTCTTTAATCACAACGTAACATCCATATCAATGTACAAAGATTCCAATTAAATTCACTTATGATGAGTCCTTGTGAAATATAGTACAATATATATAAAGTATACTGATTTCTTGATATATGATAGCGTAGTGGCTTTTGTACTCGTATTGATTGCCGCATGCATTCTCATGTAAAGTGCGAATACTGTAATTACCATATAGTAATTTTAAGTAGCTGTGACGTGGTCGAGTGGAATGAGTAGTCATGCTCAGTAAAATGTCCAGGCATGTGGCGGCGTGGTGGGCCAGGTCATCGGGCTCCCTAAAATATGGTCGAGCGTAGAGAAGGCTCGCTCATTCGTCATACTGACTTTCTATTCTATTCTAACAGATTAACATGGAATTGTGCACCTGAATGCACTATCAGTGTAAACTGGTGGTAAACTATGATAGCTCATCACATCGTGGCGAATTCAGCATGAAGTAATCACCAATTCCAGGGAAAATAGAGCGGTGCTTAACCGCCATACAGGATACGTTGCCAGTAAAATGGCCACTAATTGACAACGACAATCCCATTTCCTCCTCGTTAACGGGTGCTTGCCTGTGGTCAAATTAGATTATGGTTGATAATCAAAATTATTTTGTTTAGTGAAATGCATTAAATAGAATATACCAGTAGTAGTAACTGCATTGACCCTAAATTAAATTAAAATATCATTTGAAAAGAACTGAACAGAGTTTCTTGTTTACTTTTCTGTACTCAAATTATATTTCAAACCGACTCATCGTAACTGTATATAAATGGCATCTTTCTACATTGATATGGATGTTATGATATGATTAAAGAAAGAAAAAGATTGGAAAATGAAATAGCCTGCTTCCAAATAAATTTATGGATATGTCGCTGGACATATATAAATGAACGTTAGCCTGTCATTTATAAAGGTGTAGACAGAGACAATAAAACGTCAAAGGCTCCTATACAAATAGACCTTTCTCACTTCTACTACATTCATAAATATATTCATGTAATTTTGCCGATTACAAACTAATAACTTGGCCTTTATTGAACACGTCCTGTCGACATTCTTTTATTTTGGTATAATGGCGGGTGGTATATGAAAGGAAATATTCATTAAAATCGTTACAGAATAAGTATATAAGTATAATAAGTATATTTTAATATCCGTGCATACAAATTCTTAAACACATAAATTAATTTGTCCTCTGTTTTTTTTTCCATGGCTCATAAAGATCTTACTTACGTTAATATTATGCTATATTAATATAATATAAACGATGAAAGAATGAAAAATATACCGGGTTCCTTAAACAATCATGGGAAACTACAGCTCTCTAAAGTCTCTCAAATTGTAGGTATTTGAGAGACTGTGTCTTTATTATAAATAATTTCTTTCAAATAACCTGCTTTTATTGAAACACTTTAAAACATACATGACTGTATATAAGATATCGTGAAATATCACAATCCGTAGTATATAATATATTATATTATAAATGCGAAAATGGGTCTGTTTGACTTTTTCAATAAACGGCTGACCTGATTTGAATGAAATGAAGTGTGAAGATAGATTTTATCACAAAGATGGACATAGTGTTTTATCTATACACATAAATAAAATTGGAGTATCTGTTTGTAATATTGAAATAACCGTTTTTTCTACATGCATATGAATATAAATACGATACATACACCAAAATAACATTTTTTACAATTTTTCGCTTAATAAAAAAAGTTAAAGCGAGAAATCTAACAGTGATTTCGGTGTTATATTTCTCGCTTTAACTTGGAGCGGAATTATTTTCAGTAACTAAAGTATTTACCTAACGTAACATTTCGTATAGTTGTGGTGGTGAACTAGCCAGAATACTGCGATGTCATAGTCGCTAATTGTCAGTAGTTTCTTTAGTTTTCATCACTAGTTTCTCTAGCTAAAGTTTGGTACAGTTCATAAGCGTCATAAACTGTCGTTAGGAGTTAAATAGAATAAATACTTTATATATCATCAAATAGTTTGTGTTAATATATCATAAACTGTAGAGTTAAATACTTAATATGCAATCAAATAGTTTATGAGAATATGCGACAAACTATTATAATTTGTCGGATACTCATTGATGTCGCTTATCTATTGTCAATTTTGAATATGTATTACTAACTGTAGTCTCGCTTGGAATAATGAGCTTGGATAGCATAAAATATTTATTAATGTAACTAAAAAAAGTTTCATCGTTCTAGCTTCAAAAATGTCGATACTTCTACATAAACTTTCTTCTATCCTTTCAACCTTTTTTTTCGTATTAAAAAGTAAGTCCTTTCTCAGAGATTGATAAAGAAATAATCTATATTTGTGTATCAAATTTAATTTAAATCGGTTCAGTAGTATTGGTGTGTAAGCGCGATAGACAGACTTACTTTCGCATTCATAATATTATATTGGTAAGAATTAATAGTTTCCCGAGATGAGAAATCTTTATTATATTTTTTAGATAAAACAAAACCTATGTCCGTACTCATAATACAATCTATTTTCACGACAAATTACATTAAAATTCTTTCAGAGGTTTAGTTGTGAAATGGTAACAAACAGACAGAAACATTTATAAGATAACGTATACAGATATAGATAAAAGAAAATGTTTTACTATTACACAAATGTTGGATTTATTTCATACACATTTTCCGATACGATACGATGTAGTACTGTAAATAACGATACTATTTTTATTACCTTCACGTAAAAACGATCTTTTTTTATCGTTATGGATTTAAAGTAAGTACTTAATATCCGAATAAACACAGAAATATTGACAATATGATTCGAACAAACGTCGATTCGAAAAATCGAGTTTTATAAGTCACGTGATCAATTTGAAGGTACAAGAACTATTTTATCCTAATTATACGTTTATATATGTAAAATTTTTCTATTTATGAAAAAACGAAGGACCGTAAATATTTTCTGCAGTAATCAAGAACACTCTGCATTAACCGACCGCAACACATTAAGAGGTGAAATTTATAGAGGTTGGTGCCCTCCTTTACCGGTTTTCCTTATTTTGAATTTTGGATTTCCATCTAATGCTACAGGGAAAATAATTGTGCGCAAACAAAAGCCAATACGGTCAGACAATTCATGTGGATTTAAGTACGTATAGTTCAGATTTTGATTGACCTTACCTCTCCTTTACGTAATTATGTTTTAAGGTAAACAAACTGACAGAAATTAGCAGCTATCATTTTTAGATATCAATACCGCGGATATCACGTGACACTCACATTTAAAACTCCTCATACACTGCATACTTGAGATCTAAGGCCCATGCCTACTCTGTATCTTAAACACTGGTAATACAAAGTGCTTGGCGGTAAAAATAGTTAAGTTAGAAGTATTTAGGTAGGCAACTTTTTACAAAGTCTCCTTAGGTGAACCACTATATCTTAAATTTTAATCTATTAAATTTCAATTAAAAATTAAAGTATCAACTTTAGTATCGTTTATTTACGATCACCTTTATGTGTCTTGTTCTTTCATATCTTCTAGAAGAAGACAGTATTAATGAATAAAAATTAAAAAAAAAAAAATATATATATATACTTTACTTTGACGTTTATAATCAATTCAAATTTAATTTGATTATAGAATCATTGACACAGACCTTTTTAATCTCATAAAGAATATTACAAAAACATTATAAAACTTACTGAAACTTAGATCTTATAACTTCCGTAATACATGTAGTATACGACAGCGACGAATAATAAAGTAGTTTGAAAAGTTTATTTCACTCTTATTCACTAGAGCAAAAAATATACAAATATCATTCTAATGTAGGTGTCGGAAACCTTGAATACCTGACGAGGGTAAACATTATAAACCTTGACATAAAATTCAGATTATTCAGTTCTCATGTAAATTACTTTGGACGTATCCGAATTAGAATATTAGTTACTCTTCAAAACAGAACTTTTTGTAAACATAATCTCATTGAAAAAAAATCTAACATCACGATTGTTATACTAGATGGCGTAGTTAAAGTCATTGTCAACTTTCGATGTCGTTAAGAACGGAACACTTGATATGCCCATATTTCATTCATTATACTAAAATGTAACGACACAAGGCGTGGGTGCTTCTCTTGTTTTATTTAAAATTTTAGTTTCATATCGGTTTTTTTCATTACTGGACATTTAGTCAGAAATATAAATTAACATACAAAGATTTTTCGGTGTCCGCTAGATTTTAATATACAGCTTTTAACCAACTTCCAGGCTAAGCTTCAAGTATACAATTTTAATTTAAAATCCTGTTATTTGACATGCCAAGAAGAGAAATTAATTTTCTGTCTGACTTTTCAACAGTTATATTTAGGCATCTATAAAAGATAACCTATGTGTCTCGCTGAAAATAATGCTTTTAATAGGTACAATTAGTCAAGTATATTTATTTCCAATTTATTAAGTACAACAAAAATGTGATCCCAAGCTAAGCGAAGCTTGTTTTATAGGAACTAGTCAACTAATATTATATACTTAGATACATTTTTTGGTAAATGAATACATAATATACATAGAAAATACCCAGATTATTACAAATAGTTATGAATATAATTGTCTGCATCGTGCGTGGTATTGAACCCGCGGACATCGTACTATGTACTAAACTGCTAGACCATCGAGACTGTCTGATAGTATAATAGATTTTTACTATATATGTAGTATAACAACTTTAGCAATCCAGCTGTACACACTTTTGTTGGTCGCGGATTCGAATCCAAATATTCGTAACACAAATCGATTGATAGTATACAGAGACTTGGAGAATTTATATCAGCTGGTATACATTAAACATTTACAGTTTCGACAATACCTACAAATCTATCTGCCTACATACATATAATCACTGTAATCTTAAAAAAGCTATCCGCTTTGATGTGTGTTGTTATCTATAAAAGCTTGCAGGTATTTCAAGTGGCTCTGATAATATTCTTTTACCTCATTGTTTACTGCATAAATATTGATTATTTTGGTGAAATACTTACAAAGTAAAATACTAAATGTAGTGAAACACAAGTTTTCAAGGCGAATACCTACTACGTCATGTACACTACTACACTAGGTAAATATCTACTTCTATACTTATAATAAATCTGTAGAAGGGTCAATTAGGTACTGACATAGTGATGATTAAAATTTTATAACTTATACAATCATTTAAATTGTTGAATTAAAAATGTTACGTAAAAATTATAATAGTTGGGAATTTAATAAAAATACTTAATCTTCTCTTATATGTCATATATATATACAATCAACTTCAAATAAGAGATGGTCCAACTATATTTTAGCACTATAACAGTGCCAGATATTTGGCAAGTATAGATTTATTTAGTTGTTTTAGTCGATAAGGCTATATAAATATATATTACCCAAAGGTTACTGACATAGTGATCTATCAACGCACAGCCCAAACCACTGGACGGATCGGGCTGAAATTTGGCATGCAGGTAGATGTTATGACGTAGGCATCCGCTAAGAAAGAATTTTGATTAATTCTACCTCCAAGGGCATAAATACGGGATGAAAGTTTGTATGAAACTTTGTCAATTTTAAGCCGATTGGGCTGAGACTTTGCATGCATAAAGCTATTATGACGTAGGCATCCCCTAAGAAAGGATTTTGATAAATTCCACCCCTAAGGAGATAAATTAACGCGAGCGAAGCCGCGGGCGAAAGCTAGTGAAATATATTTCCAAAATAACTATCAGGGGGTGATTAGTGATCGATACTGATGCCAAAAATGCAATCGGTAAAATTTTTGTGTAACGAACATACAGACAGTATGTTCATTATAGAAACAAAAGCTACTTGACGGATTTTATCGAAACTTAGTACAATTATTCTTCATATTTCTGGGCAGGTTATAGTATACTTTTCATCAAGTTACGATCAATAGGAGCATAGCAGTGAAGGGAAATGTTAGGAAACGGGAGAAGTTACTCCATTTTTAAGCTTCCGTAGCGTATGCAGCTTTTATAAAGCTACACAGAAATCATGTATTGTTACGCACGTTTGACTTCTCAAACTCTATAGAATGAAAATAATAATATCCTTTAACATTATCCTTTCAAATAAAAAAATATACCTATTTCCTAATAGATTTATAAATAACAGACTAATATAACATAATATAAAATAGTAAAATAATAATACAATATAAACAACCGAATTACTAAAATTATCTCATTTTTGATGATTGTCGAAAAGAAACAAAAGCTTGCAAGATTTCTATGAGTTAAAAGCTGATGCTAATATAAGAGTTTGTTTACGGGAAAATAGCAATTTATCATGGCCTTTCGCCTTTCAAAATCTGCTGTATAATGCTAAGGTATTATCTGTTTTCGCTTCTTCAATAATTACCTGTGCATGAGTGGGACTTTTAATAGACCTGCATAAATTAAAAGACGTTATAAGGAATCTCAGCAGTCATAAGAAAATTGCTGAAACTAATAAATAACTACTTGGATGGCTTCTTTAGAAATACTATTATAATAGCTATGCCCGTGGTTTACCTGCGTGAAATTTATAGATTGAGTTTTATTAAAATCCGTTCAGTAGTTTTGAGTGAAAGTGCGTGCATCCATACTCACAAACTTTTGCATTTATTATATTTATAATAATAAGATATCGCAAACTATTTGTAATCTATTATCAACATCATCATCAACATCAGCGGAGCTGCAATGAAAAATATTGCAAAAGGTGGGGAAATAAAACGCAAACGAAGTTGCGCAGGTCAGCTAGTTGGTGATAACGATAAAAGAAAATTTCCATGTATTTTTTTAGGGTTTTGGGCTATTGGCAGATGCTATGCTATGCTATGAGCTATAGCATTGCAACCTTTTGTGTTCGCCTTGACATTTACTACTTCGTCTGCTTTCTAAGATATAGATTTTAGTGATTGTCTACATCTACTGAATGCTTGTGTGTTTGTTCTTTATGCACAATAAAGAGCTGAGATGATTCTTTTTTATGTGTCTGGAAAGGAAAATAAGGCGCATCACTGTCGGTATTTACATGAACAACATTATCACATTATCTTGTGGCCCCATGGTACCACTCATGAGTTGCCATTCCAGAAAATCATTTCAGCGTCTGTCTATATATCTGTTGGATATAGGGCTTTCCCAATATCTTCACCATGTGCAATCTTCCGCCTTCCGTATCCATCCACTCCCGGCCAACGTCGTGATGTCGTCGTTCTATCGTGTCATCTTCTAGGACATTCCATCGACCCGTAATCTATACTAATATTATAAACACAGAGAGCATACCTCGCTCTGTGTTCGTTACAAAGTGCTGAATTAATTGTAATGAAAACATGGAGATGTCAAGAAAATCGACATCTGATATTTTTATCTCAAAAAGCAAAGGGAAATCGCATATGATGGGTGGTATGAAATATGTATAACGAAAATAAACATAATAAAAATGAACTACCTACCTATTTTGCACACCGTTTAAGTATATACGATACGGTAGATATTTAAATATTTGAGAAGATTGCCGACAAGAAAGTCCCAATAGAAAAATAAATAACATAGCCCAAGTGAAATCCCGTTATAAGTTCGCAAGTATAACACTTTAACTTTGGCAATTATTTCAGAATTTATACAGTTTGTTCTTATATGTATATAATATATAATACGAATTTTTTATATCTTATTTTTGTTACAGAAAGTCAAAGGGTCGCTCGATAAAGATCGGATCATATACTTATTTGATATTAACTCTGTAAAAAAAACAAGTTATAATTAAGTTACGTACCTTACAAGCCTTTAAAGTGTTAAGCAAACTCGGCACCAACAGCGCAGCAGCTAACAGAAGTTTCTTTATCAATAAAACTGATAGCAGAACCGGTATGAGGAGGAACTTCGTCTTCATCGCTGCTAGAAGAGTGAGCAGTGGGATTACGATGGCTAACTTCTTTCTTCTGCCCCGCCCTGTAATGTGAATTTACTTATTATGTTCATTTGTTTTAATATATTCATTTGATTTAAATAACTGGAATGGTAATCACACTTGATGGTAAGTGGCAAGCCTCGTCAGTATACATGAACAGCACCATGGACATCACGTCAACATGTGATATTTTGTTATTCTTAAGGACTAAGAGGTCATGTATTTCAATCGAAACGAAAAACAAAGCAAGTTAAGGACTGAAATAGATGACACAGATGTACCCACGCCTATAAATTCGTACTGTACCTTGGTTTTTCTTCCATTTTCAAATTAACATAATACTATTTAATTGCAGGTTACGGATCACTCGTATTAGTTTGAGTAGTAAATTTTAAAACACTTGTACTTATTAAACTTATTAGAGAGAGTAGAACTTCTTAGCATTCTATGGAATAAGCGTGCGGGTGCCGAATCCATCGTGTGGCAGAGAGGGAAACTCCTAGCAGTTCCGTTCCGTGTAGGTTTAAGGGGCCCCTTTGCCAACATACGTCAATACTCACTTTCAAGCGCTAGTGTATCTCTTCCTGCCCAGCCAAAACTGATAGGTGCCCGCTAATGCAGCTTTAAATACACGTTCTAGTAAAGAACTTACTGTAGTTCTAGATACATACGCCAAAACCTTTTAGAAGATTGTAAAGAGACTTCGCTAATCTACTTCTCGTTTGTATTTCGATTACATACAAATTACGATATAGCCATTTTTCGTTACTTTAATTTTTAATAAAGTATGAATAGTTTACAAATGTAATGCTCTCATTGCACTAGTACTTAGTGCTCTCATTTCTCTGTCACGTTTCATTTATACATCAATTAGTTGCGATACAAACACCTGCTTGAAATAATTTCAAACATTGAATCCCACGATCCGGTCAAAATGCTACCGACACAAATGCATTAGTCCAGGCAGTGATTTGGTTGCAAGTTCAAGACCTCGTGACGATGGTGCAGATCTCTCAAACCGAAGTTCAGGGGACAAAGTACCTTATATTCCGTTACAAATTATAAAGAATGATTACTATTATTCTTTGCGTTTTTTTATTTCATTGTTTTAAACTATTTCTATGATAAATATACTTATAAATGGGAAGTTGATGGCATATGTTACCGTGATTGTAATATTTACGAGCTATCTCTATTTACTGTCTACCTGCTTTATTATTTTCTTTTTTACTAAATATCGTGTATTTAGTAGAATAAGAACAAGAAAGCGGATAGAACAATACTAACAGACATATCTGATGTCTGTTTGTATTGTTTACATCTACTGTAGCTTCCACCTATCGACCTGTGACCTAACATTTATAACAATGTCGAAAAATTACGTTAACATATATAAATTTAAAGAGTAAATAGAAATAACACAATTACAGTTTACATAGATATATATAATATCGATGTAAACTGTAATTGTGTTTAAGGAATAATTTCGTAAGTCTACAGTCTAGTAGTGTTTCACCTGAAAATAATAATGATTTTCCACATCTTTTGTTATAACCATATAGGTATACTATAATATATAGTACACAAGATTTTTTTTATTTGTGTCATGATGTTATGATAGCGTTACATAGTTATTATTAGGAGATCTGGCATCGAAGTTACAGGCACGGCCTAGTTTATTACAAGTACATAATTTAGGCACTAATATTATTAAGCTGACAATTTATCTAAAACCTACGCTACAGTTTGTGAAAATATTATATTTAATCATTTCATCACTATTACGGTTATTATACTCGTAAGAAAAAGTAAAGTGTTCTGCTTATTTTAACATTAATCTTTTATCTTTTTAATATTTTTGGACTTATTATAGTTACACAAACTTATCACGCAAACGTTGTTTTGCCATATAAGTAAAAATGCTATTAAAATTAGGGGCTGGTGATAATAGGGTTGTATATATTTTTTTATGCCATATTATAAAAAATAAAAAAAATTGTCCAGAAATAGATTGCCGATTCTCATACCCACTGAATATGCATATAAAATTTCATAAAAGTCGGTCAACCCGTTTCGGAGGAGTATGGTAACTAACATTGTGACACGAGAATTTTACATATAAGTTCAACCAGGATCAAATAAGAACGAGCCGCTGCATGAAATAAGTGTTTAATTCTTTACTCAACCAAATCAAACAAACCCACAATTCCAATTTAAATAACCTCAATTTATTACCCACTTCGTAGCTAATAGTCCGTGTCATAGACTGCCACAGATATAAGTCAGAGCAACTTTGTAATTATATAATCAATTTTGGAAATCAGTGCAACTGTTGAAATTAATTGATATGGTGCTTTATTACGATTTTACGAGTTATCAAAGGTCAAGTATCAACGTTTGCTATCAAACAAATACTTTGAGTGTTCATTAGTTATGGCCTAGCCGGTAAATCTCTGGATTTATCTCACAGCTTTACTTCCGACAGTCGCGGGTTCGATTCTCGCATTATACAAACGTATGCATTTATGAATATGATTGTTTTATATTATTTATTGCACAGATAATACATTATTAATATAACTTAGCGACAATGTGAGCAACTGTGTGGTGGACTTATAGAAGAAACAACCCTAAACAGTGGCATTGAGTGGGTAATAGTGTAAGAAAAAAAAATCGAAATCTACTTATTTGTATTGATTAGTGTTTTGTACATGTTAAACAGCGATATATGGTAAACTTGTTCGTTTTTCTATTTATGTATATATTATGATAATGTATACAAAACTCGCTTATTAAAGCACTAGACCGAAGCCTGGGCAGCCTAGTTGTATTTGTAGTATAAATACAGATAATAAATGTGTGAATTTTATAAAACAACATTCAAATAATATCTCATTAATAGTCTATACATAAACATAATTCAAATAAGTGCACATTGCATAATGATTTGTAATGAATTTAAATAAAAAAATATATACCATATTACCATATAAATAGGTTTCGTCTTCATTCATATGGAAAAATGGGTAGGTCAGCATTAATATAATAATAATCGTCAGTTATCCCCGAAGTTCATATTTGCAAGGCAAAAATAGAGCATTTCACGAATTACAGCGTCTGTGCTAAAGAAATTTATCGCTGGCCAAACATTATTATTCGAGATGTATTGTCATGTGGTATTATTAAATGACATAAAAACAGTATTATGTGCAGTCTACGAATAATATGAACTTTATTGTTTAACTAACGACCCGCTCCGGCTTCACATGACTACTTCAATTAATTTGCATAATACCGAAATGAATTATACACTTAAACTTTCAAATTTAGATCGAAAATAAAAAAATAAAAATAGACAGAAATAAAAAATATTTGCGCGGAAATAGAATCCGCGACCCTTGCAAACCCACCAGTGTTACGTTTACAATGGTCGTGATTTTATGCATGTATATAAACGTGGGTTATTTATCAAGTTGATAGTTAGAATGTGTACCCTATCAATTATGAGAATTGTCGATGATCCCGATCTCTCTGAGTTGTTGAATGGTTCGAAAGCGAAGTGAAGTCTCACCTCAAACTAAATGTAGTTTGAGGCGAGACTTCGCTTCGTTTTGTGTGTTCTTCCGAATATACGACGGACTGTGTTCTGATGAATTGTTTCACACGATGCCTATGGCTACCTTTTATCATCGCACCGCTCACCCTCGACATTGGAATTCATCCCCACACGCTAGAACCTAAGTAGTCGCGGACCGTACAGTTTCTTCTTTACGCTTTCTCCCGCGTACACCTAGATTGTGGAATAAACTACCTGCCGAGGTTTTCTCACGAGACTACAGCAGTGTTTTTCAAGAAACCCTTCTTGAAAAACACTATTACACTACTAAATATTAAGGTTTCTCAGGCGTCCATAGGCAACGGTAGGCATTTACCATCAGATGAGCCGTATGCTTGTTTACCACCGTAGTTTTATATTATATATAAAATTCACGTGGTACAATGTTTGTTACCATGCTCCTCTGAAACGGTTTGACCGATTTTTATGAAATTTTATATGCATATTCAATAGATCTGAGAATCGGCTACTATTTTTCATACCCCTAAGTGATAAGGGTTGTCCACCGCAAACATTATTTTCTTATTTTATGGGCAAAGTATACCATTACAAATATTGTAAATATGGACATTTAAAAAAAATAATTATTCCCGTTCTCTTCAGCCTTTATTTTTCAAAACCCTTCGAAAAGTATAATTTTTGTTTATTCACCCAGGTATAGTCAGATTCTTAGTAATAATAGTATTAACTAACAACCTATCCGACTACAATAAATAATGACAGGACAATTCATACGGCGCCATCCAGTCCCGAATTAAGATAGCTAAAGCTTGTGTTATGGGTAGTAGATAACTGACACAAATACATAGATATTATTTTTTTCGTAATTACATACATAACAACCAGACCGATACAATCAAAATACAAATATTTGTACCGTGCTAGAATCGAACCCGAGACCAGCGAGCTAAACCGCTAGACCACCAAGGTCGTCATGAAAGTTATATTTCTTTATAATGTATATAAAAACTTTTTTTTTCTTGTATATCCGTCTCGGATGTAGTCGGGACAGGTTGTTAGTTAATATATTTGCCAAGCGTCAAAATTGCAGCGTTACACGTTAATTAAACTGTTCTGACTGGTGTCACACGCAAACTGTTTCAAAGTAAATTTTGCATAATGAACGGGTTTAAACACGCCACGTTACGTTATGTTGATAATAGAGATGGCATTACTACGTCTTAGTATACCTAATGTGCATTGTACAGCAACTGACGGCCTAGGTAGTCTAGTGGTTTACTTGCTTACTTGCTGCGGGTTTAAATTCTCCCAACTATATGATAATAATAATCTCAGGACAATTCACACAGATCCAAGTTAAGCTAGCTAAAGCTTGGGTTACAGGTACTAAATTGCTGATATAAGTACGTAGATTTTTTTTTCGTATATACATACATATTATACATAGAAAAAACCCAGATCGAT